CCGCTGGTCAACACCTCGCGCGCTTACAAAGAGAAGGCGCAGAGAGGCGCGTCATTCGTTGTTATGTTTTTTCTTCCCAACGGCACGCAAAGGCACGAAAAAAACGTTCTGTTCATTTCAGTTATACCATGGATAATAGAAAGACTTTCTATTATCCATGGTTATACATCTCGAGAAAGGTTGTCGAAAAAAAGTGCACGCGACAATCCCGAAAGGTAATATGGGATAGATCTATGGGATATTTTCTGACATTGTAGCTGTCTAACCTACTGTTTAACCTACTTTTGTTGCTTTCTTTTAGGATCCTTTTAAGATATTAATATCACTCACGAACATACGTCCATGGCCTCTCGTGCAATTCTTTCAAATTTCTTAGAAGAACAGTGAACTCAAAACCACCCACGATTTGTCGCGTGCACTTTCTCGAAATAGCTGTTTACGCAAATGTATGTTCTTTTTTTTTTGAGGGGACAAATTTCAGGAAAATTTGCAACTGCTGCTATCATAACCATTGGTTTTCCACCATAAAATAAAAGAAACAGGTTTAACATGAGATTCGACCATGTAATTCACTGAATTCATTAAGGATCATAGGTCGTTTTTCGTCTTAACAACATTTTACATTAATATCTAATTATACTGAATTGCGTAAAAAAGAAAAAGGCTACTTTGCTGAATAAAAATGGAAAGGAAACGAAACTCTATTTTATTTAGTTGTCCGACGTTAAAACAAATTTCGAACGTTTTAATCCAATGCGCGTTAAGTGACGAACAACATTGATGACTCGTTCATTTGACGTCACATGAGTCATTGGGTATTGCGCGCTATAATATAAAGTTCTTTTTGTTTAGTATATTTGATCTCACTGGAATGTAAATCTATAAATAATTCCACGACTTTTATTAAATGTTGGAGGCAGAGATATGCCCTGATGGTAAGTAGGGAAAGTTACCTAACAAACTTTCATTTTCAGTTACTAATAGCAGGATCACATTTTTGTTTTCCAGTTTAACTTCCGAGGAATTAAACTTCACCGAAAAGAACTCTATACTTCGTTATCACTAGCCATTGCTTCGTTTCTTTTTGGAGCCTTAACCAACGACTTTATTTCGATTATTAACGTGGAGATGCCAGAGAACTCGACTCACGAATTTACATTTTCTATCCTGGTAAGTATAGGAGATCGCAAATGACAAACTTTCGGGAAGTTTCAGGATCTTTTCCAAACACGCTCATGTGGTTCGCTGATGTGTAAGTCTACCCACCCAATTAAATAAGCAATCCATATATAAAAGAGAAAAAAAGAAATGACATTTCTGACAGACATCATCAAAAACAAAAAATTCATTTAATAGAAGTTCGCTTTGTATATTGCCAGGGACATGGAATTTCAAGCTGACATACTTCTGACATATTTCTTCTTTTTATGTCTAAAGTTACTGCACTGTGCATCTTTTGCATTGGCTCTCCTTGGCTTCATTTACAATAATCTAGCAGAAAAGGAAATTGGAACTAAAATAGGAAAAGTCTCAGTCGGTAAGTTCAGTTCATTGGCTTCAGTGTGGTATTAACAGAAGCGAACAGTGGCCGAATTTATACTAGAGATGACCTGGGCCAGCGGCATATATATACGTCTAACATGCATCACATGAGACGAACCTAAAGCTACGATACAGTGACGATAGAACGGGCAACACAAACATGAAAATTGTTTTGCAATATTGCGCGTTTTACTAGCCACCGACCTGTTTTGCAGCAAATCAGACTGTTGCAGGTTACTGACATTTGATTGGATAAAATTAAGCGGGAGTCACACCAGACTTACGTCACTTGCAATTGCTGCAAAACAAGGTAAAACGCGCGGAATGTTCAGATTTTGTCGCAAAACTGAGTAGAGCTACTCTCTACCTGCTGCAACAAATTTTCGCAACCTGTAACAACCTGATTTGTTGCAAGACAGGTTTAAATGTGGCTAGTAAAACGCGCAACATCTCTTTTCAACTCGTTAGTTTTGCAGCAATGGTGCACTGTTTTTGTCGCCCCTTTTACCGTATACCCTAAAGCCGGCTAGCTAGTGAGCGAGACTCTAGTGATTAATCTTTAATCATTAGCATCGGGCTCGTTCGTCATATATCATGGCATATGTGAAGTTCGATGTTTGACAGGGCCTTAACTGTATGAGATGCATAGAATGATTTTACTTAACCCATGAAATGGATAGTAGACTACTACGCAGTATTACACTCCAATTTCATTGTTTCCTCTTGTTTCTCTATCTGAAAATGTCTTTTTTTTTTCAGCTTTAAATTTGGGCTTATTTATTCCAAGAATAATTCTCGAATTAGTTTTCATTGAATTCCGGCCAGAAGAAATGGCGACAGCAACGTAAAGTGAATAGAAGATGACGCAAACGATAACAGGTAGGACCGTAATACCGACTGCGTAAGCCAACTACTGAGAACAAATGCTTTAGTTAGCTTAAATACTAGTACGGTCACGTACATTAGGCACAAGTAACTTCCATGTCATGTTAAGCCCCATCCAAACGAACGCAACATTGTTGGCCAACAACTCCCAACGTTGTTGGACTTATGTTGCGTTTGTTTTCACACCCAGCTAGTTGCTTGTCGTTGCATGTTGCTTCGCATTATTGGGAGTTGATGCGCAAAGTTTGAAACCGGTTCAAACGTTTAGCTACGTGCAAACGGACGGAACAACTCCTAACACAGGTAGCTTACTCAGTGAACAAACTCGTTCTTAAGATTCTTTCCTTCTAGCACTGGGAAAGAGGCAAAAGTCAGGGTGGAGTGGGATGGGGGGGGGGGGGGG